GTGTCTTACAATATCTCTTAATTAATTAATTTCAAAATGTATATTTCACCATAATTGTAATTTTCTGTATAGTATATTTTCTGTAATTTTCAGGGAGTGTTTTGTATTGGTTGTGACATCAGTGATGATCAATTAAAATCGGCTCAGGAAAATATTTACTTTGGAAAAGTACATGACAGACTACAATTAATCAAGGCCGATTGTAGAGGTACGAAAGGAATTTCTATTTCAGCAATTTTACATTATGACAAAGGTTTTCATATGTCTTGGAAAAACTTGACTTTGTTTTGATATCCAAAAGTCTTCAAAAATATTCAAAATGAACCCAGGTGATTTTTTGGAGGGGGGGGGGGGGTTGTCATTACTACTACCAAAAAAAAAAGAACCAGTCTCCAAACACTACACCTACCCCCAAATATAAAAGAAAGTGAGCCAAAATAAATTATTTAATATGATAGATCCTACTTTTCAGCATTGCCTTTGACTAATGAGAGTGTAGATGGTATAGTCTGTGACACCCCATTTGGAAAGAAGTACAGTGTAAAGGAGTCATCGACAACCTTTCATGCATCTTTACTCCAAGAAATGTACAGGTATCCTAGCATAAATAATTATATAATATATATTACATAATTATACATGTATATGTAAATATTGCCCCAAAAATATATGTTAATATCAAACAGATCCAGATAAAAGATTTTACATGGCAATTCCTCAGACTGCAGATTTTATAATTTTAAAGTAAATATTCACAAATTATCTAATGTAACTTACAAGATCCATACAGTAAAACTCGGTTATAGCGAAGTCCTGGGGACCTGTGAATTTAAATTGTTATATCTGTAATTCATTACATAAATATTGCATGTAGTTGAGTGTAACATTGAAAATTTTCACCCCCAAGAAAACCATTAATTGTCAACTAAGGCGCAGCCGGGGTTGACAATGGTTTTCGAGGGGTGAAAATTTCAATGTTACACTCAACTACATGCAATATTTATTATATTATACTGAATGTTTTATATAAATACATATAACAGTGAACCGTGCGTGCATAAATTCTGCACAGTCGCTATTTTTTGGAATATCACCCGTTGTCAAGCAATGTTGACTGTTGCTACTCTGGAGGCGTGGCTTCATTATTCAGCGGGTAATAGTGTTTTTAGCAAATGTTTTTCAACCAATCAGATTCAACTAATTTACATGAAAGTATAATATATCCGTATAACGAATTTGTATAACCATATATAAAGAATTTGCAATATGCATGTTTTCCCTCAAGTATTACCTCCAAATAAAGCAAATATTACAAAGCATACCTTCGATAACTTAGGTTTTATTATGACTTGAATTTATATACAAATGCTAATTTAAAAAGGAAATCAAGTCAGTTCAATTTATCAATTTTGTTTTAGATCTTTGAAAGTTCATTATAAAAGATGTAAATTTCATTATATCTAACCTCAACATGGACTCAAATTCAGTTTGCTATATCCTTAAATTAGTTATATCAGAGTTCGTTATAACCGTAAATAAATAACCGTAGATTTGTAAAGAATTTTGCCGGGGACCAAGAAAAACTTCACTATATCCGTGAATTCGCTATATCCGTGTTTGTACTAAACAAGGTTTACTGTATTTATCATTAATTTCTCTTTGTATGCTTATTTTAGAGTTCTTAAGAAGAATGGAACAGTTGTTCTGCTAGTTAGTGAAGAAATGCACCACATTATCAAAAATGCAGGGAATATATATCAACCTTTTGTACAGTCCGGCCAAAATCAGATCATTCAGGGTCAAGAGGACTGTATTCAGCTGAATAAAGATATAGAAAAACATTGCTTAGATCCAAGTGACCAATCAAAACAATCCTTAGGCAAACAAACAGATACAACAAACATAAATTTCTCTGACTCGCTTGTGAGTGATATTAAAAATAGCTGGGAAAAAAGTTTACTTCCCTTACTACCTCAAAACAGAAGTTCCCCATTACCTAAGAAATTACATGCTCATGCAACTGAGAAACCTAGACAGAGTGATACAAGCAGTTCAGTAGTAAAGGATAGTAAATTGATGAATAAATGCGATGAGTTAACCTCCTCTGTAAACAGATATTGTGAGGATGTAAAGTGTGATGACCTTGAGAGAGGTGTGACAGATTTGTCTTCTGCTCTAGAGCAATTCAAGCATGTCAGTGATCACTACATCAAATTGGGGGAAACAAACTCATATATTGTTGTACTGAGGAGTTGCGGATAAGAGATGGGTACCCCAAAGCGTTACAGACGAACGGACGGACGTACAGCTAGACGGACGGACATACCGATTACTATATACCCTCCCACTTTTCAAGCGGGGGTATAATTATCATTATATAACTAGTACTTTAGTTAATGCATTACCATAAGTCACCTGCCTGAACCGTGGTTAAAATGCTTGCTCTAGAATGGTGAAGTAAGGAGTTGATCTTTATGTCACAGTTTGAATCCAACTGTGGGACGTGAAGACTGGTCCTTAAAACCATTATCATAATGGCATTACTTTTTGGGTATTCATAAATAGAAAATTAATAGAACTATTTTCATTAACAACCCCACATCACTGAAACTAAATATGCAGATTAATCTTGTTTCAATTTAACAGTGCTTGTATGTATGACTATTTCATTTTGTGATACCCTGTGGTTTCAATGTCATGCTAATTAAACGTTTTCTTACTCTTTGTTCCAAACATAAAATTGCACAAAAACTATTTGTGATAATTCCAACTGGCCATGTTTGATTGATTGTATGTTGTTTTACGTCCTATTTGAGAATTTTCACTCGTATAGAGACGTAAACAAGGATGAAGGATATGGAGATAACGAACAGTAATATTCAAAGATATATTTTATGCTCCTGTAATCAAAAGTTCGGTGTAATATAGTTTTTGCTCTTTCTGTCCGTCTATGTTTGTACGTTTGTCCACAAAAACTTCAACTTTGTCCATAACTTTTAAGTGGATGGGGCTGTGGCTTTCATATTTCACAGGTGTATCTCTTGTAGCAAGACTTTCCTTTGGGTACAACCAAACTTGACATCTTGATATTGGTGTTTGGCCACTTTTACAAATGAATCATTTGGATATAACGAACAGTATTCAAGATCAAAAGTCCATAAAACAATACAAAATAGGAGCAGGGCAAAAATGGACCTCCAAAACATCAGAGGTGGGATCAGGTGCCATGGAGGAGATTCCCCACTTTTACCTTGACTATAACTTTTTAGTTGGTGCTAGGGCTTTCATTCAAGCCTATCTTCATTTTTCCATTTTCATTGCAGTACTTTCAAAGGAAGGTATGATTAACATGTGAAACTTTCTCTGCAAAGAAAAACCACATCGTGAATTAAAAGTAAATCTTATAATGCAAAATATAAATCCAAGACCCTTTGATTCTTTTTCCAAGGTCGAAGAGGGCTTCATTGGTCATAAATTGAATATACATTTACACATCTTTTTTTTTTTTTAAAAGTCCATCACCTAGGAAACATGCTGCAAGGATCAGACTCAGTGATATATGGACAACAAGAAGGGGGGTGGGGTTAAATTTAGTGGTGAAAAAGGCGTGTATGTGAAACACTGATGCCCCCTTATGGCAACATGGCGAAGATAAAGCTTTTCTCAGATGCAAATTAAATATGTTGGTAACCAAAGTAAAGTCTTCTAACAAGAAATGCAATTATGGAATATGATAGCCTAGTACCACCTGTTCAAATGTTATGACTATTAATAAGTTTTTGAAAGGTAGGTTAAACTCAAGAGTCAGAGGATCCAAGTTGTTGGTTTCTAAAGAAAGGTCTTGTCTCAAGAATTATGTATGTGTAGTATCAAATCTATAGCCCTAACAATTCAAAAGTTATGGCCAAGGACTTAGATTAAATTTTCAAAACATGGGTCAAACTGCAAGGTCAAGATCAATGGGTCAAAGTTCTTGGTATCCAATGAAAGGTCTTGTCACAAGGATTAAATAAGTGAAGTATGAAAGCCCTGACCATAACCCTTCGAAAGTTATGGTCAACGTTTGATTTTAAAAAGTAGGTCAAACGTCAAGGTCAAAGATGTTGGCATCCAATGAAAGAACTTCTCACAAGAATTACATATGTGAAGTACATGTATGAAAGCCCTAGCCCTTTTTGGTCAAAAGTTATGGCTAATAAAGATTTTTTTGAAAGTTAATAAATCTCCAAAGTCAAAGGTCAAAGATATCGGTATCCAATGAAAGGTCTTGTCACAAAGAATATATATGTGAAGTATGAAGATCCTAGTATCTACTGAGCAAAAGTTAGAGCCAGAGAAAAAGTTTGGAATTTTTAAGTAAAAATGTGTCAAACTCCAAGGTCAAGGTCAATAGGTCAAATTTGGTGGTACACAAGGAAAGGTTTTGTCACAAGAAATACACATGTGAATTATGAAAGTCATAGCTCCGCTAAATCAAAAGGTACAAGCAAGCCTTTTAGGTTAAAGGTTTTGCGGACAAACAGACATACGGAATTGGCAACTCTATACCCCACGAATCTTCGATTACAGGGACATAAAAATCAACTGGAAAATAAACTGTAATGCTTGTTAATGATTATCAGAGATTTTTGCCCTTGGAGTTTGACACATTTTTTCTAAAAATATATCCAAACTTTTACTCTGGCTCTAACATTTTATACTTAGTTACTAGAACTTCCATAATACAGGACATTTCATTGGATACAAACAACTTTGACCTTTACATTGGAGTTTGACTTTCTTCATAAAAACTTTAACCTTGGCCATAAGTTTGAACAATAAGGACTAGGGATTTCGGAATTAACATATGTACAATGGATGTAATCCTTGTGAGGAGTCCAACATTGATACCAACATTTTTTACTTTTTGACATTGACCTTGGAGTTTAACCTACTTTAAAAGACACTAACCATAATTTTTGAAAAGTTAGGACTAGGACTTTCATATTTCACAAATTTAATCCTTGTGACAAGAACTTTCATTGGATACTAACAACTTTGACCTTTGATCTTGAACTTTGAGTTTGACCCACTTCTTAAAAACTTGACCATAACTTTTTTAACTGTACGGGCTAGGGCTTTCATACCTCACAAATGTTATCCTTGAGAAAGACCTTTCTGAAGAATCCAACAACTTTGACCTTGACCCTGAAGTTTAACTTTTTAAAAACTAACCTTGGCAATAACTTTTGAACAGGTGCTGCTTGGGCTTTCATGTTCAAAAATTGTAGTTTTTGTGAGAAGACCACACATTGGGTACTAACGTATTTGATTTGTATTTAAGAAATTAAAGTTTAATCCTCTGAGGCAGGAGTGTTTCACAAACACATCTTGTTTTTATTTTAATGGTAAGTAATGTTGTTCACGTGCTTAAAAATTGGCAGTTTTCTTCAGTCACCGTAAAAGGTGCAAAGCCCTGCTTTTATTTGCCAGAGGTCATTTATATAATTTCATATAATGTTGATGTACACATTTACATATGAAAGTATTAATTAGAAAAAGCCTCATGTACTACCAAGTTTCAATCAGGTATACATTTAAGTAGTTCCATTTCTATTTTTTTTTCTCTGTGATAACTCTTTAAAAGTTAGAGGAGTTGATTCCTTGATAATTCTATCATAATGTAAATTGAGCAGGTTGATAGGTCAGGAGCTAAGGAGGCCTGATATGCATGTAAATCGATCTCGTGCGCATCTGTCTCTGACGCTAAGGAGGCCAAATATGCATGCAAATCTCATGCAGCTGCCTTTGTGTTTGACGTCATTGAGCGAGGACTATTGAAATTGATCTGGAAGTCATCGTGTAATTTAAATCTAAGTCTACATTTTTAAAGTCTAAATTTACAATTTATTTCACAATGAAATAGAGTTATAAGGAATCACTGTCTAGTTAGTATAGTATGTCAGGGATATCAACGATAGTGGAAAACATGGGATAATTCATGCATAACGGGCTCCGCCCGTTATGCAAATTATCTCATGTTTCCCACTATCGTTTATGCCCTGACATATTATACTAACTAGACAGTGATTCCTTAACACAACATGCAATATACATTTGTGTAAATTATGATAACATTAAAACATGGTCTTCTTCAATTATTTCGTTATTTTTTGCCTTTCTTTTATTTATTTCAAGAACTTGAAGTCTTTTGACTGAAATTGCAAGCTGGGTTTTAATTTTCATTTTTGCAAATTTTGAAGAAATGTGTTCCGTCTCCCGCACTTCATAGACCCAACCTTTTTTGTAAACCTGTTTTCTTTCAATCGTCTTCCCTTGGAGATGATCAAAATCTACACGAGAACAAAATTCCACTGCGGTGTCAAGAAACTTCTGAAGGTCAAATTTTTCGGCTGCTAGGATATAATCCAATAGTGTTTCAACTGTTATGTCTGTATCCGGATTACATTTGCTTATCATAAAGTTCTCACAATCAGCAACAAGAGGAGACTGGTACTCATGTGCCAATGGTAGTACTTGTAGAACATTGTGCCCTGAAAGAAAATTATCTACCGTTATTTTTTGTAATACTAGTAAACTGTTAAAATAATCAAATACAAGAGGCCCATGGGTAACAACACTCATTTGGGTAAGTGTGGCTCTTGTATCAGGGAATTCCTATTCTCGGATGTTACAATTTGAACAAACTATAATCTACATTATCTACTTTTTAAAACACGCATTCTCTGTAAGCACCGAAAAATCTTGGAAACGTCATGTCTCGTATTTTGATGAAATTTTTACCATAGGTGTGTCTTGGTACAAAACTAGTACATATGATGTCGGTAATTCTACACGTGCACTCAGTTGCCATGGAGACAGATCCATTGAATTTGGCCATTTTTGACCCTTTTTGACTAAATGAAAACATGAAAATTGGGGAAATTTCAATGCATATTTATCGGTATCTAATACACTCAAACAAAGTCAAAGAATCATATTCATAACACATATGGTGAAAATTTCATCAAAATTCAAAACATGCTGTTCCAAGCCCTATATAGTAAATTTGTTGGTGCTTACAGATAATGCGAGTTAAATACTAGTTATAAGGCCATTCCAAGTTTTTTCTATGTTTAGCGTCCGCGTGCGCCTTGGTTTTTGACACCCCATATAAGAAAAAAAAAAAACAACATCAGGAGTCCTGAAACTGATTAGTTTAGTCGAAATTTTTGACTTTTGTCAATTATTTCTCCAAATAATTCTGAACAGTAAGTTAATACAGTACAGTAATTGGGTGTATTTTAAGCATTTAATCCCTTGTATTTGCTGAAGAATAGATATATCTTCTATTAAAGCAGTTTAGTTAGATCAAATAATTTGAAGGGCGTCATTTTTATGACTTTAAGCCTGTGTTTTATGTTTTGGCTTGTGTGCTTTTTGCGAATAGGTAGGTAGGTATTTGAAAGATGGGTGGACGCTAAACAGAGAAAAAACTTGGAATGGCCTAACTATATGTTATAGTTATGGCTTTGCTGTTCATCGTAAAATGAATTTTAAAGATTTTTTCCTCATACATCTTTGATCATCCATAATGATTGTGGACACATCCTTCCCGCAGGGTTTACGATTTGAATAAAGATGAATTTACACTACCTGTGGATGCTTCTATTTAAATATGACTGATTATGGCTTGGCTATTATACCGAAAACGATTTTTACAGACTTTTTTTCCTGTACAGTTTTATGAAAAAATTCGCCCATTGTGGTACCTCACTTCCCCCTAGAATCATGATTTGAACAAATCTGATCATATACTACCTGTGGATGCTTAAATGTAAATATAACTGATCATGACTTTGTTGTTCATCATCATGTTTTTTTTTTTTTAAAACTTGCATGTATTCTATGGATTCATGATTTGAACAAACTTGAATCCACACAACGAGTGCTTCCATACAAATAAGATTAATAACTAGAAACTCTTGTTGCTACAGCAACAAAGAAGGTCTTCCGTTCTCCTCTATTTATCTGTATGCAGGATGTTTTTTTCTATTTTAAAAAAGACAGACATATAATAAACTAGTAGACTAATTGTTCAGTGAACAATTATCGACCTTTCTACCTTTTTAAGCATTTCAATTTCATTTGGGCTGAAAGAAGTAGAAAAAAGCAAGAAAATAAATCAAACAGCAAAATTCTCATTTCTCAACTAGGATTTTAGATCGGGCTCGCAGTTGGTATAAATATACTCTAAACAGACTTCCTGGATTATACGAGTCGACTCGGGGATAACCACGAATTCATTGATCACGCAAAGAGAGCACGTTCAAAACATTGTAATACGCTCCTAGGTGTATATATGAGCTTGAATGAGATTGTTTTCGAGTTAAGATGTAAGGGGTAGAGTCTGATTAAAATTACGATATACCTAATAATATGAATAACATGCATTTGATCTGCGCATCAAGACGGAAGCGTAAGTGAAAACGTTGTGAAATGTCCCATGTGTACCTGCATCATATGTGCATTATACATGTATTAAAGAGATGTTTGAAAATATCCTATTTGAGTTGTTTTATGTTTGAAATGGATGGCGATAAATTATTTTAGAGCATGTGAGAAACCTGAGCGAGAGATGCAAGGCAGTTTGTAATTATGAAAAAGGAAAACAGAGAATCGGGTTCGGGTTTTAACATTCCTGACCGAAATTTGCATGAAATTCAATGTAAGTAGCATAAATAAATTTCCAAACATGTAATTCTAGATGGGAAACACAGGGAAGAAACGTGTATTTCTTTTTAATATGCTGAAAGTCGCTACTTCTTGGGATTGTGTTATTCTAGAAAAAAAAATCAAATTTCAAATGAAATCAAGATTCATTCTATTAATATCAAATCCAAATAAAATTGAAATAAATTCCATACACTAAAGAAAGCAAGAGTACTTGGTATTAAAATGTCGCAATAGAGCAGGAGAATCGAATGATATTAACAAAAATTGGAGAAATAGCCAATACGGGCTTTAATTAATTTTTATGCTCAGCAATACAAAATTTCAGACAGAAAAAAAAATGCAGATTTTGCCGATTTTCACTAGAATTTCATTATATTTTAGAGACTCACCTTAAAACTCTCAGGACACTTTCTTTAAGGTCTTTTCTTGCTTTTACTTTGAATCTTATGTCGATATACTTGTCGTTTGACTTGTAGACATTTTCTCTATACTGCTGTTGATTTTTTTTTTCAAGAAAGGAGGGGGGAGGATATAAGCATTTGTTAGAGTAAGAGTTGCAAATACCTCAACGACATTAAACTTGATTGTTACCTTTGGATCAATAGGGGGTCATTTATCAAGGTCAAGGTTATCCAAAAAGAGAGAGAGATAAACTTGAGATTAACACTTGAAGCTGAATCTAGATAAAGGTAATGAATATTTCTTTATTACTTTTTGAGTAAGGGGTCAAAGGTCAAGGTCAAAGGTCAAGGTCAAATATAAATCGACAATTTCTCTAGTTTTCCAATGACCTTGACCTACTCTTCAAGGTCAGAGGTCAAAACATCTGATGCAGTTGTGAATCATGGACATTTTCTCTACACCACGCCGTTCAAAGGGAGGTAACTGCAATTTATCTAAGCTATCTAAATTGCGTAGAAATTGATTTGGTAGGGAAAAATCGCTATTTCTTAGATCAATTCAATTAATATTCAATGTAAAATAAAATTGAAATAAACTCTACATACAAAGGAGATCAAGAATACTTGGTATTAAAATTTCGTATTTGAGCAGGAGAATCGAATGCTATTGACAAAAAGTGAAGAAATACCCAATACAAGCTTTGATTAGTTTTCATGCTCATCAGCACCTACATTTCCGACAGAAAAAAATGTAGTTGTTGCCGATACTCATTAGAATTTCATTATATACTTCAGAGACTCACTGTTAAACACTCAGGACACTTTCTTTGATGTGTCTTCTACTGCAATCTTTAAATTTCATGTCGATCTGTGTCGTCGTTTGAACTGTAGAAAATTTTTCTAGGTTCCTATTGATTTGAAAAAAAAGAAAAAAAAGGGGGGGTATATAAGCATTTGTTAAAGTGAGAGATGTAAACATCCCCACGGACTCAAGCTTGATTGTGACCTTTGGGTCAATGGGGCAAGGTCAAGGTCATTTATCGAGGTCAAAGGTCAAGGTCATTCAAAAACCTTTTAAACTCCAGCTAAATATCAAGCTAAATATAAAAAAAAATAACTCTTGGGTAAGGGTCAAAATCAAAGATGAAGGTCAAACATCAAACTCAAAGGTCAAGGTCATGTGGCATATATAAGCAATTTAAATACTTTTCCAATGACCTTGACCTTTTGACCTTTGGTGTTGTTTTATTTCTTTTAATTGGAAGTTTTCGTTGTTTTTATTTTTTTTATTTATTTTTGGTGGAGCTGACATATTTCAAAACTACTAGTTAGATGCAATAAAGTAATGGAAAAAAAAATGGAAAGAAAAAAGTTGGAATTTTCGATTTTTCAAATCACATCCTGTGACGACCGGAAGTGACGGCGGAGACATTTATCCCTATATCTGTTGTTCACTCTTCAAAGTTTATTATTCTTATAAGTTAAGTGTCTTGATGTCTTACCATAACCAAGATCTAGCTATGTTAACAACTCAGTTTGAGGATAGGAAATCATGAGACCGGAAATCAATTTTTAACAGATATTTGTAGTTACTCTAGACATTTGCAGTCTGAATTAGATGTTCTAAAATCATTTCAAATACTCTTTCTATAAAAGATATTTATGGGATAGTATGAAACTCAAATTATGCAGTTTTTCTCTCATAACCGGAAGTTGCCGTTTTTGTTTCTGGTGGGATGGACATATATCAGAACAACCAATAAGATGCAATAATGTGATGCCGAGAAGTATTCCAAAAAGAAAAGCTGAAATTTCTGATTTGTTTGATCACTTCCTGTGACGACCGGAAATGACGGCGAACGATCTTAGCCCTTATGGTTTTGCCTACTTATCAAGATCTATTACTCATTCAAGTTTGGCGTCTCCATCTCTTACCGTTTCCGAGATCTCTTTGTGATAACTTCCCATATTGAGGACAGAAAATCACGCGACCGGAAGTGAAGTTTACAAAGATATTTGAGGTTACTGTAGACATAAGCAGTCTATATAACATATTTAAAAATCACTACAAATACTTTATGTATAAAAAATATTTATGGAAAAGAAAAATACACAAATTATATAGTTTTTCTCTTATAACCGGAAGTTGTCGTTTTAGTTTCCGGTGGGACTGATATTTTTCAAAAATACAAATAAGATGTTATAATTTGATGCAAAAAATGTTTCATGCAAGAAAAGTTAAAAATTTTGATTTTTGGATCACTTCCTGTGAAGACCGGAAGTGACGGCTGACGATCTTATCCCAACTGAATTTGCTTACTTATCAAGATCTACCACTTATATAAGTTTGGTGTCTTAATCTCTTATCGTTTACGAGATCTCGCTATGATAACTTCTCATTTTGAGGACAGGAAATCACGCGACCGGAAGTGAATTTTACAAAGATATTTGACGTTACTGTAGTCATTTGCAATCTGAATAACATATCCAAAAATCATTATAAATACTTTATCTATAAAAAATATTTATGGGAAAGAAAAATACTGAAAATATGCAGTTTTTCTCTCATAACCGGAAGTTGTCGTTTTTGTTTCCGGTGATACTGATATATTTCAAAACTACAAATAAAATGCTATAACGTGATGCAAAAAAGTTTCAAAAAAGAAAAAGTTGAAATTTTCGATTTCTTTGACCACTTCCTGTGACGACCGGAAGTAACGGAGGACGGACTTAAACATATTGCACAAATCTACTTGTCATGATCTATTATTCCTGAAAGTTTCGTGTCGTAATCTGTTACCGTTCCTGAGAAATCGTCCGGACATGATCTCTTTTGTAAAAACGGAAATCGGACATATTTGACGACCGGAAGTGAATTTTGAAAAACTGAAAACTGCATTTGAAAGATATTTTGATTCTCTATCATCCCTGAAAATTTCATGAGAATCTGTCCAGTCAACTCTGAGAAATCGTCAAAAAAGAAAAGGGAAAATAAAATAATAATAATAATAATAACTAGAGCAAAGCTCGTTGCAAAGCAACGAGTAGGTCTTCCGTCCTGTTTCGACCAGAAGTGACGTCAACAAAAGAAAGCAATGAGCTAAGTTGTCTCCGTTGACTTTATAATTTCAATTTTGCGTCAAAAACTTAAAAAATAAGCTATTTTTGGTTACTTCCGGTTTGACCGGAAGTGATGTTGACGGACGGAAAATTAAGTTTTAATGCTCCCAGTGACATGTGTTACCCAAAAATATGTCAAGAACGACAAAAATATGCATTTTCGTACTACTTCCGGTTTGACCGGAAGTGACGTCGCCGGATGTATTTTGACGACCCAGATAGATTAAGCTTATCATTTTGAACAACTTTGCTTCTTTGACGTATTACAAATTCTTAATACTTTTTGAGATATAAAGGAAAAACTTTTGGCCCCTCTCGGCCCTTAATTATAGGGGCCAGCCCTTTTTCAAAAATATCGTTTGAAAGATCAAGTGATTCTACACTTCTTTTGTTCTATATATCTTAACGAAATATTTGTATGTGAAAAGATATCGAAGAAAAAGTGTTAGAAATTTTAAAATTCTCGACATGCCCTTTTTCGGACCATAGCGAGCGTCGGCGTGCAGCACTTCCGGTGAAAATGAAATACGTATGTCACATCTACATATACTGCTTTATCTTTTCTGAAAAACTCAAGTTTCTATCCTAAGCCGTTTTTGAGAAAACTCGCGGACAAACTGACCCTCTGAAAATCACTAAATCGCGAAAATCTCAAAACCGGAAGTGACGTCATCAAAACAAAAAATTACATATCAGGTTTGTTTGATGTTCTATCAGTCCTGAAAGTTTCATGAAAATCGAGCGAGCCGTTTCCGAGAAATCGTGTGCACAAAATTGGTAAGAAAAAAAAACAATAATAATAATAACTAGAGCAAAGCTCGTTGCAAAGCAACGAGTAGGTCTTCCGTCCGGTTTTGACCGGAAGTGCCGGAAGTGACATCCAAAAAGAAAGCAATGAGCTAAGTCATCTCCATTGACTTTATAATTTCAATTTTGCGTCAAAAACCTTCAAAAAAGCTATTTTTGGCTACTTCCGGTTTGACCGGAAGTGACGCCGACGGACGAAAAATTAATTTTTATGCTCCCAGAGACATATGTTATCCAAAAACTTGTCAAGAACTGCAAAAATACGCGTTTTCCGACTACTTCCGGTTTGACCGGAAGTGACGACGCCAGACGTATTTTGACGACTCTAGTAGATGAAGCTTGACATTTTGAACAACTTTGCTTCTTTGTCGTATAACAAATTCTCAATACTTTTTGAGATATTAAGAAAAAACTTTCGGCCCCTATCGGCCCTTTATTATAGGGGCCAGCCCCTTATCGTTGATATCTTTTGAAAGATCGTCACATTCTCTACAACTTTTGTTCTATATATCTTAACAAAATATTTGTAGATAAAAAGATATCGAAGAAAAAGTGTTAGAAATTTTAAAATTCTCGATATGCCCTTTTTCGGACCATAGCGAGCGTCGGCGTGCAGCACTTCCGGTGAAAATGAAATACGTGTGTCACATCTACATATATTGCTCTATCTTTGCTGAAAAACTCAAGTTTCTATCCAAAGCCGTTTTTGAGAAAACTCGCGGACAAACTGACCCCTTGAATATCACTAAATCGCGAAAATCTCAAAACCGGAAGTGACGTCATCAAAACAAAAAATTATATATCAGGTTTGTTTGATGTTCTATCAGTCCTGAAAGTTTCATGAAAATCGAGCGAGCCGTTTCCGAGAAATCGTGTACACAAAATCGGTAAGAAAAAAAACAATAATAATAATAATAACTAGAGCAAAGCTCGTTGCAAAGCAACGAGTAGGTCTTCCGTCTGGTTTTGACCGGAAGTGCCGGAAGTGACGTCAACAAAAGATAGCAATGAGCTAAGTTGTCTCCAGTGAGTTTATTAATTCAATTTTGCATCAAAACCTTCAAAATAAGCTATTTTCTACTACTTCCGGTTTGACCGGAAGTGACGTCGACGGACGAAAAATTAAATTTTATGCTTCCAGTGACATATGTTATCCAAAAACATATCAAGAACGGCAAAAATATGCATTTTCTGACTACTTCCGGTTTCACCGGAAGTGACGTCGGTGGATACATTTTGACGTCACCAGTAGATTTAGCTTGAAATTTTGAACAACTTTGCTTCTTTGACGTATTACAAATTCTCAATACTTTTTGAGATATTAAGGAAAAATTTTCGGCCCCTCTTGGCCCTTAATTATAGGGGCTAGCCCCTTTTTGTTGATATGCTTTGAAAAAACGTGACATTCTTAACAACTTTTGTTCTATATGTTTTAACAAAATATTTGTAGGTAAAAAGATATAAAAGAAAAGATGTTAGAAATTTTAAAATTCTCGACATGCCCTTTTTCGGACCATAGCGAGCGTCGACGTGCAGAACTTCCGGTGAAAATGAAATGCATATGTCACATCTACAAACACTGGTCTATCATTGCTGAAAAACTCAAGTTTCTATCCTGAGCCGTTTTTGAGAAAACTCGCGGACAAACTGACCCCCCGAAAATCACTAAATCGTGAAAATCTCAAAACCGGAAGTGACGTCATCAAAACAAAAAAATATATATCAGGCTTGTTTGATGTTCTATCAGTCCTGAAAGTTTCATGAAAATCGAGCGAGCCGTTTACGAGAACTCGCGTGCACAAAATCGGTAAGAAAAAAAAACAATAATAATAATAAAAATAGTGGAAAAGAAACCTAAGAATAACAAGAAGGTCTTCCGCTGAAGACGGAAGACCTTAAAAATAGTGGAAAAGAAACCTAAGAATAACAAGAAGGTCTTCCGCTGAAGACGGAAGACCTTAAAAATAGTGGAAAAGAAACCTAAGAATAACAAGAAGGTCTTCCGCTGAAGACGGAAGACCTTAATAATAATAATAAAAAGAAACAGTAGAATCACTATAAGGTCTTCCGTCTGAAACGGAAGACCTTAATAATTTTCCTATTCTTAAGAAAATAAATTAAAAGATTTTTCCTAAATTGAACAGATGATACAACCAAACTTCTGTCTTAGAATTGAAAGAAACAACTTGTGTCATGTTTTAATAAAGAAAATAAACAAGTTTCATCGTATAGATTTTAATATTTTGTTCAACATTTTACAAAAAAGGATTTGAAGTGAAAAATATTTGTGTAGATTAATGAAGATGGTGGCAGAAAGTTAAAATTTTGAACATCGTAGAAGGTTTACAATTTCTCAATATTTAAAACCTTTAATATTTGCATCATTTGAAACAAAAATAAGCCAAGAAATGTATGCATGTACCAATCCAGACATCCATTTTTGGTTGTATCATCCGTCCATATACTTTGATCACCCATATGAACAGCACCCTACCCCTAATGGTCATGATTTGAAAAAAAATTAAATCTGCACTATATTAGGAAGTTTGAATATTTAATAGACAAGGATTCAAAATCAATGTAATATGACAAGGAACAATAAAGGGTATTATCTATGAAATTAAATATTTTATAGAGAAAGTCACAAAACAATAACACACACATCTTTACTCACGCTCACAATAGCTCTACCTGTTATTGCATACTCCATGTTGGGATAAAAACATCTAAGAAACTCAATTACATCTTTAGCCTTTTTGTTGTGAAGAGTGATCTCTTTTGCAGTGCTTTCTTTAAAGCTACTAGAAAACATGGTATTAAATACTGGCGAATGTTGAGACAGGACAGCTTTGTTTACGTGAATTTTCTGGTCTTCTACAAGCAAAGTTACATCTGTTTCTGGAAATTCAAAGTTACCCTTGCTTTTTCCTTCTGCCATGTTATATGTTGCTGTCTACTATCTAAAAGAAAAAAAAATCATAAACTGACAATAAAAGCCCTGTTAAGCTGTTATTTTTATATGATTCCAGTAGTTCTTCTTGAGAGTCTTCCTCTTCACACCTAGATCTCAAGCGACAAGTCAAGAGCTCCACTTTATCATGGGAAGACATCCTACATTGAAGCTAACATCGCTATAGTAGCCCGCGGTCGGGGTGCAGTCGTTAGAGTTTTGCTAGGTAACGTCGCGAAGTAAGGAGTTGATCTATTCCTCGCTGGTTCGAATCCCGCTGCGGGACGAGGAGACCGGTCCTGCAGATGAGAACAGATAAACCAATGTCCCTAGCCGCAATAGGTGTTGGCACAAAACGATCCCTCACTATTCAATGGCTCTAAATCCCGATTATAGATCTTTTGCAGCCCTTAACCGGCAAGTGATGCCGTCTCGATATTAGTGAAAAAAATTACCGAAAGGGGTTACAAACAAACAAACAAACTAACGAATGACACCTCATCTTTCTCATGAATTTCAAATTCTCGCCGCACGCTGGGCGCAGTGGTTAGAGGGTCTGTTCTAGAGTCGCGAAATAAGGAGTCAGTCCATTGAAAGAAACATGCTTAAAAACTTAATCTGCTGAAGCAGCTGGATAAAATAGAATAGAGGATCCATATATGAAATCCATGCATTTAAGTTTGGACCTGGGAGGGCAATAATTACTTGAAAGTGAAGTTGTTTAAACATAATCGTCGCAAAAAGGTCTTGCCGACACAATGGGCAATATTGTAACATCACCCTCATAATTATGGACTCCGTTGAAGATTACGCCAGGCGATGGACCGGATATGAAAAAGAAGACGTTCTCACTTTATCAGAATGTATTAAATGTGTGCGATCCATGTTGAAATCACGTATTAAAGGATTGAGGTGCAATATGAAAACCATCTTTCCTCTGTGTTCAATAATCCAGAAGTGAAAAAAGAACTAAATAGATCACAAGATCAGTATGTACTGGTCCCTGCTGACAAAGCAGGTAATAACATTGTGTTCGTTTGTAGGACTCATTATAATCTAAGTACTCAGAAGTACAGAGAGCCGTTGTAAAGACGAATAATGACCCCCATCGAATAATGACCGGGGGTCATTTTTCGACAGCGAAAAATGACCCCCGGTCAATATTCTACGGCGAAAAATGACCCCCGGTCATTATTCGACGTCGAAAAATGACCCGTTTGCCCGTAGAAATTGTGTCACCACCCTAAAAATTTGCAGAACCCACGTGACGAAAAATGACCCCCGTAGAAAAATAACTCCCTGTCGATTAAAGCTGAAATTTTTAGGGGGCAAAAAAAAATAGATAAAAAAGCATATTGGCCAAAATGCTCACCTGAGCTAATTGGGAATATAGCTATATTTTAAGGTCAATGCGATGATTCAGAATCTAAAGGAGTAAAAGATTTATCGAGCCTAAAGGATTAGGTAAACATTGTTTTTCGATGGTCTCACTGACAGAAAAAATCAGCAGTATATAGTGATCTGGGTGTCCGTCCGTCCATCTGTTACGCTTTTGGGTATCCATCTCTTATCCGCAACTCCTCTTATATATAAAAAGATTTGTTTGTGAAACAGCTTTGCCCCTGTATGGCAACATAGCGAAGATTAAACTTTTCTTAAATGCAATTTAAATATATTGGTACCCAAAGTAGGGTCTTCTCACAAGAAATACAATTGTAAAATAGGAAAGCCCTAGCACCATTTGTTCAAACGTAATGGCTAAGGATAAGTTTTTGAAAGGTAGGTCAAACTCAAAGGTCAATGGGTCAAAGCTGATGGTTTCTTAAGAAAGGTTTAAAGTAACAAGGATTACGTATATGAAGTATGAAAACCCTAGCCCTTACCGTTCAAAAGTTTTTTCTTAGAACGGAGATCTCCAAGGTCAAAGATTTTAGTATCCAATGAAAGGTCATGCTAAAAAAAATACATATGTGAAGTATGAGAGTACTACTATCTACCGTTTAAAAGTTATGGCCATAGTAAACATTTGGCATTTTTGTGTAAAATGGGACAAACTCCAAGGTAAAGGTCAAAAGGTTAAATTTGGTGGTACCCAAGGGAAAGTCTTGTCACAAGGAATACGCATATTAAATATGAATGTCATAGCTCCAATAAATGAAAAGTTATATTCAAGGTTAAAGATTTGCGGACAAACAGACCTCCAGACAGACAGACATACAGACGGACACGATGAAAGTATATACCCCCGAATCTTCGATTACGGGGACATAAAAATAAAATAACTGTCTTCAATTAACTTTTCATATTATGATACAGTATAAAGAAGACGTTACAAAAATGAAAATGTTTGTTCTGATTTTCATATTAAATTCTCTGAAAAGTATACTCAGAACTGAGTAAAAGGGTAGAGTAAAACAAAAATTAAGAAATGTAATGAGTACTGTGTGCTAAATCAAAAGTTTATGTCTACATGTATAGTTTTTGCATTAGAATGTGTTTTTTACACTAGCCCATAGCCTTACAGAGCATATTTTTATACCCACCCGATTATCAACAAAAGCGACAAAAAAAAACTACCCTACCTTTATTTTTCTAAAAGGAGGAACTAAAAAAAATCTACTATTCTACTAATTTTCAACTGTTACTTAGCCACAATACTTTCAAGTATATCTCACTTGAAAATGTTCATTGCAAGTCTGGTTGTTGTACCGAGGGGGGTATGAAAAGAATATGTATTTGCAAAGATTGAAAATATTTCTAATCATATAGTGATAGTCTGCATGTATAGGATGGAATATGTAAAAAAATATACAGCATAGAGGCGTCCTGTCATCCATTTCTATTTTTACTCACTCGTTTGAATGAAACCTTATTAATTCGAACAAATTACCGGTACTTATTTGTACGCACCGATATTAAATTGTCTGCTACAAAGTTCTACTTTTTCCCAACAAATATTTTTTTTCTGAAACAATGTATCAGAGTCAGTAAAGAAAGAAATCATATTCATAAATTTCATCTCCAGCGTGCGTTTGATCCACTTACATGTACCATCTTTGATTTTCTAGGTTTGCTCCTTTATCGGAGAAATGAAGATTAATTGATTGATTGTTAATTGCATAAAACTGATTTGTCAATATTTCAGCAGAGAGAAATGAGGAACTTTATTACCCCTACTTGCTAGCCTAAGAAAAACAATGATCAAATCTATATTCGAACAAATGCATGAATTACTCGAAGGAAGAAAAATTATAATATACAGCATATTTTTCCCTTTCACCTGTTATAAATTTTATATCACTTTAATTAATTAAAGGGGGTCATTTTTCAATGGGGGTCAATTTTTTATAGGATTAACATATAAAATAATGACCCCTAGGACTCTTTTTCTACAAAAAATGATTTTTTCCTACGGTTTGGGGGTCATTTTTTGTTGTTGAAAAATGACCCCCGGTCATTATTCGATGGGAGTCATTATTCGTCTTTACACCGGGCTCATTTACAGAGTAGAATGAATTTCTTACATGAATCACGTTTATATTCTGATGAAAAAATTCGTTTAAAACTGTCAATATAAATGATAAGACACTGACAGTGAGTTTTTCAATCCTAATACCATGGTCTGATTTTGTCAGAATCAGAATTAATCTGGTACCGCAGCTGAATGTAAACAAACAGGCCAGTCTGGTTCCCTCTCCTGCTTTTCCTCGCATGTGTAGAAAACTACGATAACACTGATTTATCGAAAACCCTTACGCTAATGAACTATGTTCTTTGACTTAGGACTGAAGTTTTCAAAGTCATTACTACTAATGTTTATTTTTATGGATAAAACTTTTTATTTTTGTTGCTTTATTTAGTGTTTGTATTATCCCAAAAGTGGTTGAGAGTAAGAACTATATTTTTTCACGTAACTTTAAAATGGCGACTATAGGGTTGACTTCCTGCCTTGAGCAGGATGACATAAGCGGCAATTGCTCTTTGAGCAATAAGCCCGACTAAAAATTGTATTTTATAATTAGGAGAACTTGGATTTAATTCTACAAGTAGTAATGCAACTTAAACTCATATTTCTTTTTCTAAGGAAGAAATTCTTCAAAATCATGTGTCAGTTTTGAATATTTTTAATATCCCTAAGAACCAAAATGATTTTGAACTACATAAACCATATATATATATATATATATATATATATATATATATATATATATATATATATATATATATATATATATATATATATATATATATGGAGTCCGAAACTTCATAAGAATCCTTTCAAACAAAGATACATTCCGGGTTCCAGTAAATGTTCAACCAAGCCTCTTTCTTTACTCCTCACTAAGATATTGACAGTAGTATAGGAAAAATTTCAAGAATGCTGTGTAACAATATATTCAAGAAGTGGTGTGAATCAGATGTGGATACTCAAAAATTCCAAAGTGATTTTGGACAATTTGAAATAACAAGACTTAACCAAAACCAACAGCTTAAAAACTTACAACTTTGCAACTTTATATACAACCCATCCACCTGATAAATTAAAGTCCAGGCTTTTTGATATCATCGACAGCTGCTTTTTCAATGAAAATGGAACTCGTAAATTTACTTACCTTGTCAATGGTCATTTGCAAAATTATTTTGTTAAAACACTTTTTGATTGCACACATAAGTACTCTGAAATAGATTTCAAAAAGATGAATTTCTGATTAACAATATCTATGTTGTTTTTAGAGACCAGGTCTTCCAACAATCTATTAAAATCCCCATGGGTACAAATTTCGCTTTGTTATTAGCAGACCTATTTTAGTATTCATATGAAGCAGAATTTGTACAAAAAAATTTTATATGTGAAAAGAAGAAAAAACTTGTTGTGGTCTTCAACTCAATATATAGATATATCGATGATGGACTGTCAATTAACAATGATAATTTCTATTCCTATGTCGATACGATCCCGGGGAGCTTGAGATAAAAGATACCACAGAGTCTGACACATCTGTTTCATTTTACATTATACTTTAAAAAGACATTAATGGTAATCTAACAACCAAGCTCTATAATAAACGTGATGACTTTTATAACGTCAACTTCCCTTACTTATGCAGTGCATGTTCATCACCTTCATACGGAGTTTATATATCTCAGTTGATTCGATACGTAAGAGCATGCTTCACGTATGAACAATTTCTTAAAACGAGATAAATTATTGACCAACAAGTTGATGAGACAAGAAACAAGAATATCAGCAGTCTCGTTGAAAGTCAAATTGAAAAAAAAAAATGCAAAAAGTATTTTATCATGATTAAATTACGCGATAACATAATCTTTATTCACAACCTACAGTTGTATTTCCCAGTATGTGTACTGTTAAACCACATACTTTCGTGGATTCAAATTTTTGTGGTTTGCAGAAAAACTCTTGGTTCGTTGGGGTTTGTTTTCATTAATGAAGAATTGTTGAGTAAATATATTGTAACATTTTACATTTCATGGTTGACATTAATTCGTGGTTTTCATTATACACCAAAAAAAAAAAAAAACAACGAAAATTAAAACCCCACGAAAATTTTTGATTTCACAATATTTCATATTTACTTCAAAAGTGTTTAAAATGTGAAAATGTGGACCATTACAGAAACAACTAAGAGGGAAACCATTTATGTCTGTGGGTATTTAGATATTCGATAATTTTGTGATAAAGGAATACAAAAATTTAATTATCATCTGAAAGGTGGTAGAAGAAGATTTTTTTTTAGATTTTACCTATATATTCCTATGTGGAACTTTGATCAGCCATTGTGGCCCCGCCCTACCCCAGGGGTCATGATATGAACAAACTTTAATCTGCACTACCTGAGGATGTTTCCACTAGAGTTTCAATTTTCCTGGCCAAGTGACTCTTGAGAAGATTTTTAAAAGATGCCTTTAATTTTTTGCTAATTCATAATTATCTCCCCTTGAAAGAGGGCATGGCCCTTCATTTGAACAAACTTGAATCCCCTTTAGTTACCCAAGGATAATTTGTGACAAGTTTGGTTGAAATTGCTTCTTGAGAAGAAGATTAAAATGTGAAAAATTTACAACGACAACAACGATGACGAGAGACAACAGACAAATTTTAGATCGTAGGCTCAAGTGAGCTAACAATTGAAATAACATCAGGTCAATACAACTGTTTTTGATTTAGAAAAAATCCAAATGTTGATTCATGATCTTGAATTAAAGGAATAATTCCGAATAATTACGAAACACCATGGTAAAATTTACATGATACAACTTGTCGTGTGTTATTAGATAAATAAAAATTTTCCTTTATATTACATTTTTTCCAAACTCAATTTAAAAGTAAAGGAGTGTAGTACAGATATATGAAAAACAAAATTTTATCACTTACCGTTGGATTGGCTTCCTGGATGGATTTTTTGAAAATAATAATCGATCTGTCACTTCTTCTGACCGATTTTAAAGTCTATCATACCCGTTTTCAAAAAATGATTATCGATTAGTTTTATTTTTTGAAAGACGTGATTTGCAATTTGAAATCGCTCAACAAGAACGGGGCGCAAACAGTGAAACTTTGAACAAATGAAAATGTCTTAAATATCGATTGAATATTTGTTGAACATCTCATTAAATAATTCTTTCGCTTATAAAAGTGACACCACACAAGTATACTATAAACATAAGGATTTAAGATCTATACGTGGCACTCAGGGCCATTTAGAAGCATAATGATTTTTTTTAATTGTGCGAAGGCCCATCTGACACGGGATCATTTTTTTTTTTTCAAATTTTCTACTTCATTTTTTTATTTATATACAATTGTTACAATTTACCATTGTATATAGAATAGTTGTCAATTTAATTTATCATAGATTCAACGCAATGAATCCCTCAAAAGATCAAGAATATCCTACACTGACATGAAAATATATGTATGTGCCCAAGAGTGTTAAAAAACAATTGACTGAGTGAAAAGGGGTTTAATAAGAAAAATATCTACAGGCACTGTGAAAAATGAGTCGCAAAATGATACCCGGCCCGTCTCCCATATGGTTATAATAATGACGAAGTCCATGATGCTCAGAGAGACCCAAAATAAGTACCATATCAAAAAGTAAAGTAGGAGGTACACAACTGCATTATTTTATAAAGAATCTGTGAAAGTATCATTAAATTTTATTCAATGGTTTGAGAGGAGTTGCAGATATAGAAAGGGATGGGTACCTTTTAATATTATAGAAAGAATGACCATATCCATACTTTGCTCTTGAAAACCCAAAATATGTGTTCTATGAAGAAATGAATAACAGGTTTCAAAATAGCAATATGTAATAAAGATTTTGTGAAAGCATCATATAATTTCATTCAGTGGTAAAAGAGGAGTTGCGGATAAGAGATGGGTACCCAAAGCGTAACAGACGGATATCCCGATTACTATAATACCCTCCCGATTTTCAAGCGCGGAATATAATAAGCTAAGAGAAATAAAGAAGAATTTGAGGAAAAGAAAGCATACAAAACTTTTCAATCATCCATAATTGCTAGATCTCAGCCCTTTTATTCTTAAACTGTTTCCTTTTACTCCCCAGAACACATTAAAACAACCAAAGGATGTTACAATATCATATATGTCATGCAAAATGATATTCACCAGTGTCTTTGGGGCATTCTTTAACATGAGAATGATGAAGTTTTCTGTTCATGGATAAAAAGACCTATGACATGTGAAAAGGGTATTACAGTAACCGGGGATGCCTTGAGAGATTGAAACTACATGTAGTAAGAATATGTATCTCGTATTTAACCTATTTGTATATAACAGTTTGCATTATTTAATGAACGAGCCTCGTATTGCAGTTTACCTTGGCATGTTTTCGAACTGTGATCATCGATTACTGTATTAATTTTATTTTTCTCCAGGACTCTCTTTGCAATTTTAAATTGCTCAATATATACTAAAATAAAATCGAAACTTTTCTTTACCAATTAAAATTTTTCTTTCAATGCACCATATTTTTCAAATTGTACAACCCAGTAAATCTATAAAATACATTGTATTGAACAAATTCATCAAAACTCGTCTAACGAAAACAATGCAAGAAATGCTATGTAATGAAGAGAAAAGAAATATAGAGAACTATTTTTAATATCTTATGAAAATTTTCAAAACTAGATATACACATGAAGATAAACTATACAATGAACATTCATATGTAATGAATTCCCCACAAAAAGATCAGGATTTACAAGAAAGTTTCTCAGATATTTCCATGTAATTTTCATTTATTTCGAGTGGAACACAAAAAACATACAAATGCAAAATGCTATATAAATGTAGAGAAAGTTTTTACTTACCCGCGCTGTTAATTCACTACTTAATTGTGCCAAGAATCCAATATTAGATAGGTTTAGATAAATTTCTCAAGAATGTAAAAGCATTCAGTCATTTCATTACATATGTATTTTCTTGGTTAAATCCTTTGCACTCGTCATGTTTTGTAATACTCCATAAAAACAGGAAAATTCGTTAAATTTTGACATTTTCAGATGCCCTTCTGGAGACAAGACGATAGAATTTTGAGTATTTTACGTAATTTTGAGTATGTACAATTTAACATTGCCCATCATTTTTTATTAATTAACAAACAACGTATTAAAGTTTTTGTAAAATTTGGTTTAAAAAAGCAAAATATTGGCACTTTTCTGTAATCCTAAAGTAAATCTACCTTAATTTTGAGATTTTGAGACGGTCCCTTTAAATTTTAAATATACATAACAAGATATTGAACATACATCACCAGATTATAGAACATACATCACAATATTTCGAATATACATCACAAGATATTGAACATACAACACAAAATTTTGAATATACATCACAAAATTTTGAATATACATCACAAGATTTTGGATATACATCACAAGATTTTGTACATACATCACAAGATTTAGAATAAACATCACAACATTATCGAATAAAGCAACGTTTTACATTCCATACTCGCGTGGTGCAGTGGTCAGAGCGTCTGATCTAGCGTTGCGAAGTAAGGAGTCGATCCTTACGTCGCGGGTTCGAATTCCACAGTGGGAAGTGGAAACCGGTTCTTCGGATGAGACCGTATTTATAAACCGAGAACCCGTTGTGCAATAGGTGCTGGCCCGAAAAAGATTCCCCATTTCTCATAGGCTCTGAGTGCCGATTAAAGGACAAAATTGTAGCTCTCCATTGGCAGGTGGTGGCGACTTCACATATTGAAAATTTCTCGAAAGAGACGTTAAACTACATACGATCAATCAATCAATCAATCAACATTCATCTGATTAGACTATGATAATTTAATAACATAATCCTCTTCAATATCGTCAAGATTTTTCTTTTTCTTTCATTCATTTCAAGAACGTGAAGTCTTCTGACAGATATTGCATGCTGTGTTTTTGAATCAATCTCTAAAAATTTTTAAGAAATATCTTTCATCTCCTGCACATCATAAATCCATACCGATATAGGACAAATTGGCCAAGCAGGACTCTCTATTTTTACTTCTTTTCGTTCGAATGTCCTTCCATTGAGAAGATCAAATTCGACATGGCCACAAAATTCTACTGCGGTATCCAGGAACGTATTCAAGTCATATTTTTCGGCTGCTATAATGTAATCCAGTAGTGTTGTCACTGTCAGACGTGTTCCCGGTTTGCACATGCTTGCCATAAACTTCTCACAATCAGTTACAAGAGGAGACTGGTACTCGTGTGCCAAAGGTAGTACTCGCAACACATTTTGTTCTAAAAAAAAAAGAAAGAAATCACCATGCCATCTTAAAAATATATATTTACATTCAGTGTTATTTTCTAATGAAATCCATTAGAAAGCTGACGTTCAAATCTCTTTAACACACGCCTAACCTGGTCCCCTGTCTCAACCTTGCCTAGTGACGCGGAGTATACGAAGCATAAGAGGGACAGAGAACCAGGCTAGTTTAACACATGCCAAACCTTGTCACATCGCGTTAGAATACACAGTAGGAACTAAATGCATTTTCAAAACTCTAGGAACACCTAAATGTAGAATGCTTTATTTCAATTTTATGGAAAATAAAACCCTGATGAATTAACGTAATAATACAACAAATATGCGTTTGAAATTTATTTAACAAACATACGTTTGAAATTAATTTTTTCAATTTTTTTCCTCGCAATGTTCGTTTGCATTTTATTAAACTTTGCAACGTCACAAACGGCTTTTAAGCACACCGTTTTAAGGTCGCTAAATTCACATTAAAGATTAACAAAATAAACAAATATGAAGACTTTAAATAAGAGAATGTTAATATGAGCATTGAATTCATATTTTGGGATGTCGTCGGTCCTAACATCCGGTATTTAATTTGTTGACAAGACCAGGTGTGTCACAGAACCGAAGACATCCAAAAAATGAATTTAGTGCTTAAATCGATCTACATGTAATGAAACAATAACATTTTAAGCTTCTGGTACGCTGATACTTGTTTTTAAACTAAACAAGCAATCAACTTTTCAGTTGCATTTCTTTTGGGCCTTGGCGGGGGAAGGGGTGTTCCAAAATAAATCGAACAAGCAAAAAAAAAAAAAAGAACCTTATTCACTGTCCAAATTCGGGAATTTGCCAGTGCGAAGCCTTACAGCAACAAAAAATAAGGGACCAGGCAGATATGATAAACATTATGAACTTTTCAATGGTCAACTTCCCTTACTTATGCAGTAATATTCCTTCATAACCCACATACGTTATTTATATCTCTCAGTTGATTCGATACGCAAGGGCATGCTCTACAGCAAATAAAATTTATCATGTCAAATGCTAACTGACCTTTTTCATACTATTGTTTAACTATTATATAAACAAGGATTTTTTCCCCATCATATCCCTATCATGACAAGAAGCATACGGCGGGTGTGACCGGTCGGCAGGGGATGCTCACCTTTCCATGGAAACTGAT